GGTGGCATAGTGCCTCTCAGCCCCGTGCAAATCCAGCTGCTTTCCGTCCAGTGCTCAGCTGCAGCTCCCAGTGAGGCTGGGGTGGTTGGCCTCAGAGTAACCAGAGCTGCTTCAGCATCTCATAACAACAGCACAAAATCTGACACCATTAACAGACTACCTGCCCGGCAAAAGGAAGGGGACACTTGCAGTTAGCACTTGTTTTACTCTCCTTCACCCAATCTGACAGCACTTCTTAGGTCACTTTAATAAAAGAGCACATGACATTTCATCTTTTCATCAGTCATTTTTCTTTCTGGAAATCATGAAAAACAAAGTAATTCAACCCAGTATGTGTCTAGTGACAGACATGAATTACTTTAGGTGTGTCTGTGTGCACATTTGTGCATATTCAAACACATAAAAGCAAGTCTATGATGCTTGGACTACATGAGACAGGCAGGCAAGGAAGAAGGTGTCTTGCCATTGATTAATTAATTAGTATAGTATAAAGTTGATGGAGAAGGTGAGAGAATCGCAGAGGAGAGATTTTCCTTAGCTCAGCATCTGGATAGAAGCTTTAGTCTTTGATGTTCACAGCCAGACTATCCCAGCACAGGTTTATTGGGTGACAAATCTGTTGGAAGAAGCTGCGCTCCCTTTCAGCTCAAAGACCTAACTTCTCTAAGACCCACCAGAGGCCCTGAGCTTCTGGCTAAAGGAGCTGATTTTCTTCTTTCATAGGAAGTTAATTTGCTACTGAAAATAATCATTTGCACATATTCCCAAATGCATCTCTAAATTTAGGGTCTCTGCACTATATGCTCACCTTAAAAAGCTTTTCTTTTGGCTGTACCTCTACCACCCCAACAGGATAAGAGGATTTTCTTCTCAGGATGTCACAACATTTGGCAGTTTTTCTTTAGGAGAACCTTCTACTGGAAATAGGAGGCTGAACAGACTCTTTTGCTCTGCAAAAGAACAAATAAGTTCTCCATGGTTCACAGCTGCAGAAAACAACATGCAGCGAGCCTGAAAGCAGGGAGCTCTAGCATCTCATGACTGTTCTGTAGCATAGACTCGTGATCTATGAGCACTTGGCACTTGGCAATATTGAAAGCAAGCTCTTCAGAGGAAAAATTACAGGAAGTCTGACCACAGACAAATGTGGCCAAATGGCAGCTTTACATCTGTCCTTCAGGCATTAATATACAAGCCTCCTTTCCTTGCTCAGTGGCTACAGCAGTCCCGGACCACAGCGTCACTTTCCACAAGTTGTTGAATGCATTTGACCTGTTTCAGCACACGCTTAAAGCTGAAATATGTGTTGAAGCCAGCCCTACAGATATCAGAGATGAACATCCTGATGCCACAAGCTCTTGTGCTCTATGAAGAACTGAATCAACTTCTCCCAGAATGATTTCATAGCAAGCTTTTTTCCAGAGAGAACAGTTTTCTTTCATTTTCCATGTTGAATACTTTAAGTGGCTGGACCTTTTGGAAATAAGTGTTCCTGAGAGAACAGGTCCTGCATGCGAAGAAGACACTCTGGACTGCTGCCAATGCCCACTCGGCCCTGAAGATGTTAGCCCTCCCTCTGGAAATGCTTTTGTTCATTTTGATTGAGCCAGATGAACATTTGGATATGGAGCCCAAGCTCCTAGAGTTAGCATCTGCTACTGTAATCATCCATGTACATATTTATCCCTCGAAAAATATCTCAGCCATCTGATGGCTGAGTGAGGGCCTGCTCCTACTGGTGCACATATTCCTACATCAATTAGTCACTGCAAGTTGTTCCATACTGGAATTTTGCCTACGTTACTATGTGTATACAAGGCATATACACATCACATCACGTAGCCTTACGATTTTGTGTCTGCTTTGATTCCTACTAATCAAGAGTCCAGATTTCTTTCTTCTCAGAGGCTGACACACTGTCATGTCAGCTCGATGGATTAATTTTTTTCTTAGCAGTCAAGTCAGTTAGGTATTTCTGCTGTTTTCCACAAATCCAAATGTAGTAAAAAGATTACCATATCAATAAATTGTGTGATTTAATCTGTAGGAGTGGGCAGATGAGATCTCCCTTGCAAATCTGTTGACATTATTAATGAGTTACAGTTTTAATGCTGAATAAAATCTGAATTGCAAAACTGTGCAGTAAATTTATTCTCATGGCACAGTAGTGCATTGTAGTAGTCTTCCATGACTTTCTCAGCTGGTTCACATATAAGAGGCTAAACTTGTAAACCATAAGACTAAAGAATTAGTCATATACTAATATATATTAGTATAAAGAAAATAAACGAAAAAATTATTGTTTGTTTTATTGCACCTGTCAGAGGTTTCAGCTATCACCGAGTATTAATTGTTTTGAAGGTTTTAGAGAAGATTCAGTGGGGTTAATGAGACAGTAGAAAGTAAGAGGAACAAAAGTCCAAGGGAGAAGGTTCATATGTACTCACGGATCCTACAAATCAATAAAATGTGGTATTTGAAAACACATTATTCTTCACCAAATCATGACCAGGTTTATAATTCTTAAGAACATTTGGATAGTGTAATATGGTCCTAGAAAAACAACCCCATGCAATGGAATGTCATTTGGTGAAGGAAACTACGTTTTACTGACAGTTCTCATATTCCTTCTGTTCACAAGGCTTCACTGAGAATGTGATTTTCCACACCCATATTTCCATAATCTCTTACCTTTTTGCTAGTCTAGGAAAGATGATTAGCTGGACACTTTTCAATGTTGTTTTGCTGGCTTTGCTTAATAATGAAGGTTTAAACTAAGACTCTCACTTCCTTTTCTCCCTTCCATGTGACAAACTATCACATCTGTGATTCCAAACACAAATAGAGCACGGTAGTACTCAGTAAGAAAGTGCTCTGTTGCCTTTTATTTAGATTCCTTAATTTTTTAATTCCCTGGACAAACTCACTCCCAGTGCATCTCTGTGACAGTCAGTTAGACAATGTGTTAGTGGTACTACGGATCACTTGCATCCCTGGTGCCTGATACTTTGGGCCACAATGGATGGGCTGTATTAGTGAAAGAGCTCTTGGGTGTTTGAATTAGGTTCCTCGTTCACCCAATCAAACAAGGTCCCTAAATCTAAACAGATTAAGCTCCTTTGCTTAAATAATTCGATCTGGACTCCCTTGCTCTGCTCAAAGTGGTGGAATCAGAGCTAAATCACTGTCCTACTTCACTTGAGTCTTCCTTTGTACAGCTAATCTTCCCCTTCAAAGATTTCCACCCTTTCTGAATCCTCATTTTCAAGAATCCCTACTCAACTTCTTGCAAACCTGTCTCATTATGGGATCAGAGATCATTAACGGGCTGCACGTTTATATGGCTTTTTATTTCACAAATTCTCTCCTGTGAGCTGACAGGCAGAGTGGCTGCTTCCTTCTTCAGCAGTGTTGAAGTCACCCCATTACAGCCTCGCTCAAACCTGAGCTGTGACTGCACAGTCCCCACAGCATCACACAAAGCACACTTGCTCAGTGCTATGAAAAAGCTGCCCACCACTCAGACTTGGCTCAGTGTCCTGGTTTAGGGTAAATTTCCAAGGAAATTTGTGTCTCTGATAACAAACTCTGCGCCTCTTCTCTCCCCCTTCACTATTGGAACGAGTCTTAAAGTTGTAGAACTTAATATCCACCACAAACAGAACAGATAATTGAGAATGCAAGCATCATAAAGTCACCCCAGGACACTCTTACTTCTTATATTACTCTTAGTTAGTTATACTCTTCACTCACTCAGACTGTCCCTTCTTGCCACTGAAAGGGGTAAGTGAGGGGAAGGCTTGGCCTTCACAACATCCCTCAGTTTCCACAGGAATGCTTCCAGTCCACCAACAGTGGCAATGAGCCCTTTGAACACTGGACCAATAGGGGTATAAATGTATGTGGAGAAACAGAAAGGTTAGCTGTAATCTTTTACTTATGGCAGTGGAGAAAGACTGCACATTTCAACAGCCTTGATATGTTATATTGCCCAACTTTAAGCAATGGTAAGTCCTAAGAAAGAAATATGTTCTGAGTTGGAGATAACAGAAAGCATTCGAAATGTTGGAAACTCTTCATGGGAAGAAGGAAAAGTACTAAACCATCAAACTTGAATTTCAGGAAGGCTCTCCATCTTCTCCACTACTGCTTTCGTCCCTCAGTTTTTCCCCTTCTAAAATGCTGTTGTCTTCCTCCACCTAATGGATGCCACTTGAAAGCCTGTCACAATTTAACCTAGTGATGGGTAAAAGCAAAAAAAAAAGGTGCATAAGGAACATGGAGGAGTAAATAGTTTTTTATGCTTGACATGGGTCTGAATAAACATTTAAGTTCAAGGCTGACATTAATTATTTCTTTTTACCTCTGTGAATGAATGGTTAACAGGGTAAAAACCACAATAACCCGTGGCACTGTTTCCACTTTCATGTCTTTTCAGGTGCACTGAAGTTTAACTGCATTAACAACACTGCTAGACTTAAGGAGGCAGCATAAAACCTGAAGGAGTAAATGACACGAAAATGCATTGCCAAGTAGACTCAGGCAACCTGATGAAACAGGTTGGGAAGGAGAGAGAGGAAGAAATGTTAATAAATGATAAAGAGAGCAGATCATTAAAAAGTACTGATAATAAAAACCACTAAGTAGATAATGCCCTGAATTCTGACTGACAACAGAGATGTTCTGAACCACTGTGCAGATAGTAACAAAATCAAAACTTGTTCAACATCTTCAAATGAAGCTGAAAGAACAAAAACCCCTACATGCACTTTTTGCATTGGTTTGAGGACAACCACCTCCTAATCTGTAGGACTGCTGTCTCTGCAGTAGAAGAGTCTCTCTAACAGTTCCAACCATTGTCAATGTTTTCACATTGTCACATCAGCAAAGCAACTTTACAAAAACCACTTGCAAAAGCTAAGAGAAAACTCTCTGGGAAGTTGAGCTGCCACACAGAGGAGGGTAAAGATCTCAGGTTAATTGATGCAGCTGTACCTTACCTGGTTCTGCAGTTTAACACCTCCACACGCCTCTACCTTCCCCTGTGCACAACAAGTACTGGAATCTGGAGCATTTGACCTTCCCCAGCTCTCCAGCAGAAACTCCAGTGCAACCTTTACCTTCAGCAAGGAGCTGTGTTCCTTTTCCCCCTCGTGTTCTGCGCAGAGCAATCTAATACACCTCATCATGTGGTGTGTTGCTATAGCAGCAATGAATCCAGCTGCTGCAACACAAAAGACTGACAAAAAGTTGGGTTTTTTTCCTGTCCACCCACCCGGTAAAAGTCAGGGTTGTTTTCTTGTGCAGCAAATCTAGCCCAGATAGGCTCATGTCACCTGTGAGAGCTAAGTAATGACAAAGTCTAAAAAGAGAGACACAATTAAACTGTAGGTTTTGCTTTGGGGGACAACTTGGGGTTTATTTTTAAGAAAACAAATGACTCAGTAGTATGAAATCAACACCCCTTAAGCAGATAATCATTATTTTTCTGCTCCTGCCATTCATTGGCTTAAAAATTTAGGTCCTTAACTCCATAGGAATTGCAATCACAAAATCACGCTCAGCAGTCAGAAATTCACTGGTAATACAGATGCAGAGACAGTACAGGTGACAAACATCAGATTTACACCTTCAGAAGCAAAACAACCATGCACTTTCATCATTGTGGTCTGGAAAAAAAAAAAACTTCTACAAAATTTTTTGCTTGTGAAACAGAAATTATCTGGAAAATGCTAAATAATCATTATTAATACTGCCCTACTAGATTAAGCATGAGGACTAACCATAGCAGAGCCTTTTGAGTTAAACATTGATGCTTTACAGCTTCAAAGGTATTCTTGCACTACTGAGACATCTTAGTAACACCATTCAAAGTTTGCCTTGGGAAGTGTACTAGAATACATGAATTACCAGGCTCAGGTCCCAGTCTTGTAACTGAATCTTGGAGAACAAATTCTTCCTGCAAAGCAGGGCCATATTCTTCCTCCAGCTGTTTCAGCAGAGAAAAGAATGGAACATGTAATGTAGCCAAGCCTTTCCCCTGCAGAAAGCCTCTGCAAGAGCAGGAACCTAAGTGGCAGCAACCTGATACGAGCCACTTGAACCAGGCCTTGCTTTTCTGAAGTGGTCCTAAAATGAGGTTTTCCCAGTAACCTGCTTTCCCCAAAATGTGCTAGGCATTTCTCATTTTCAGGGTTAAAAGCCTGTTCAAGGTGTGAAAGATACTACTGCTCCAGAATGGAGTTCAGCAACTACATCATCAAAAAGTCGACTTTTCTATTTAGTTTTCCATTTGTCTGAATGTAACAAAAGATGTAGAAAAAACAGCTACTGCTCTCATGGACCTCAATCCACTCAGTTAGAGAGTCCAAAATAAAAATAAAATCCTAATTACTAATTAATTCTCTTTTACTGCTTTATAAGTAGTCAAACTCTATCCAAGTTAATTAATAATATTTTTACCCTATTTTCATACAGGACTTGCCAAAGCTGTTTGTGGAATCTGCATCTTGCTGTATCTGTCAGCAAAAGCTGGCTTTGGAGTTCACAGATCTCCAGTTTTGAAGATACTCAAAGTAGCAGCTGTTCTAAGAGACCTCTGAAGATGGAAAACAGCAATGCAGGCTCCTGGAAGAGTCACCTTACTTTGCCTTGAAATAGGTATTTACCTATTGATTCACATTTAAAATTCTGTCTGGCACTCTGGATACAGGGTCAAAACACATGGTGCAAGAGAATTCTCCTCACAGTAATTCCTATAGTTCCTCAATGCCATCCTCTTTTTAATACACAGTGAATTTTCTTCTCCTGATGCTGACGATCAGAACAGACAGGCCATAAAGCACATCCTGAAGTTGTATAATGCGTTTGAGCTTCAATTGCTACACAGTTGTTTGCAACTCTGTGTCAAGTACTTTACCCACAAACAATTGCAAAAAAGCCCCAAAAGCTGGAAGGCAAGCAAACCTTCCATGCACATCTGTTAATATTACAGTCTGCCTTGAGTACTGTTAGTGGCTTCACTCAGATTCTGTATAGAGCAAAAAAAAGTAAAAAAACAAACCTACTGAGGGAGTCTAATAGACTATTAAACAACATCACCTGTTAGAAAAGAAATTAATACAGGCTTTTGAGGAGCAATATCCCTCACTTTGAACAACAAATGATCCAGGTCAGGCAGCTGAAGCTGCAGGCTGGAGCTCCAGCAGAAGTCCCACTCCATGACCAGAGGGCTTTCCCACTCAACAGGACTTGCAGTCGTACAGCACCTGCTCACTGTTTATAGAAGGGCTGACAACACAGAGATTAACAGAGCCATAATTTCAATAATTCATGTCTGCTCTGATGTCTCAAGGCCAAAAGCAGCCTCCCGTGTTGCTCATGATTTCATGCTTTCACAGTCTTTATCTTTCCTGCTGTGTTCCCCCCCAAACCCAGTTCTCCTTCATCCCATGGATTTGTAAAAAACTTCAGGGGACTTGCAGGAAAATCCAGACAGTTTTAGAAATTGTGCCTGTCAGTAATGGAAGACAGTCCTGAACTCTTCAGGTATCTTTTAAACACAGGTAGGCACTTGGAATGTGCTAAGAAAGGTGGGAACCAGCTTGCAGACAGCAGTTACGTTTGTACGGAAAGGGCTGGGCACGGCTTGAAGCATCATTGCGTGCTCACTGTGCTGGAACAGCCAGTTAATAACTACCTGGGAAATGCAACAGGAGAAGGAGCCAATGTCAAATGTACTCAGAGGAAGGTTACTCTGCCTTTCTTTAAGCACTTGTTGGCGAGGGGTTGCCTGACACAGATGGCATCAAGCACATGTGCGTTTCTAAGTTGAATGGCTGCTTTCCCATCAAAATATTTTCTTTTAAGAAATGCTACTGAACCTTTTGGAGGGCTCTGTTCCTACTGCCATAGGATAACTGATCCTTTCCCACAATACTCGAGTCGTACAAAATAAAGGTAAAGCCTGGCTCCTGTGAGTGCTGACTCCCTCTGGATGAACTCAGCCTGCAGCAGCTGCCAAGACTTGACTTTCCCTTTAAAAGGCAGTGTGAGCACAAGGGATGGAGTAACGGCACTGCTCCAGCACTTTCAAAGCCAACCAGGAAATGGCACAAGGAATCACATCTCGCTGCCCCATTTGCCCGACAGATAGCATGACTTCCTTCACAGCATCCCTGCCCAGGCACCACGCAGCTGCTTGGGTCAACAGGCAGAAAAGGACTCCCTAGTGCTGCCCAAAGGGCTGAAGGTTGGGCTGCAAACACAGGAGATGGCAAGATCCTGAAAGTAAACAACCTGTGGTTGGGTCTGTTTGCTGCCAGATTTCTGAGCCAGAGATGATCAGAGTTTTAGGCTTCCTTTATACAGAGACTAGTGCCCAGTCTTCTTTCCTCATTTAATCGCTTTCACAAAGAGCCAGGACCATTAAGTCCCATTGATCCAAGATGCATCCTGGCTGAGCCAGCCTCCGTGTCTCAGCAGAGCTGCTGGGCACAGCACAAGGGCACCCAGTTGGCTCCTGAGGGGTGTCAACAAGATGCTGTGCCAGCTCTGGCTCACAGCCTGCCATGCTGGACTCAGGCAAATCTTGCAGTCACTTGACATCACCACCAGGCGCCCCTGGGGGAACTGGGCTCTGCAAGCTCCAACAGCATGGATCCAGCATGGCTCTGCACAGCCTCAAAGCCCCATGCAAGCCCCTGCACAGGAGGGCAGGCCAGCCAGAGGGCAGGGCTGTGGCTGCACCAGTGCTAACAAGCCTGTCTGGGCCCAAGCTGACCCGGATGCCCTTCTCAAATTAAAATGCCTCAGGCCACAGTGGTGGAAATACAATGCAGAATCCTCTCTGTGGCTGAGACGCTTCACAACACTGCAACTATTTTGTTCCAGTTCCAGCACTGCTGGGAAGGCAGAGAGAAGACACAGGAGAGAGCAGCCCCGGACTGGCACGGGAGAGACTCTGCACTGAAGGCAGGCAGAGTTCGTGTTATGAAACTGCACCCTTATCTCACAACAGCTGAGAAAAGGTTGTGACAACTACAGTCTTTACAGCTCCTCCTTGCCCCTATTCCCTCCTCCCTGAGGATCCCCCCATCTGGTAACTGGCAGTGCATGCCACCGGCAGCCAAACAAACACTCAAGCCCTATGGTGCAAGAAACCACACTGTCCCAAAAAATTATTTCGATTATTTGATGAGTGGATTTCTCATATAGTGTGTGCCTCTGGTTGAGATTAAACTCTGAATGCAAAATAAAGCACTTTAAGCAAAATAGGTCAGAATGAACAAAAACTCTTTGAAGCCTGGGCTCAGCCTTGCTTTTTGCCTACCAGGGATGGATCCCCAGGATGGCTGGGAAGACAGGTGTGCCACCCAAGTATGCTGCCACACCAAGTCTAACGAGGAACCCTACCTTGGCAGAGAGCAAGTGCAGTGACCCTGCCTGCACACACCTCCATGGATGCCTGCAAGCAGCCTGCCAGCTTCTCAGCTGGCTCCTACAGGATTGCTGAACAACTGAGAAAATCCAGACACATGGGCAATGGAATAGAAAAAGAGAGGAAGCAAGCAAGCAAGCAAGATATACATAATTTCCAGCCTATTTCTCATCATTCCTACTTCTTCCCAAGAGTGCCTGTGAACAGCCTAGGAACTGGAGGGTTTGACCTGTGTTGCCCATGCTGCTACAAGCAGCACATTCTTTCCAGAACTGGTCTGTGCAATCCCCTTGTTAACTACTGGTGGGCCACTCAGAATTTTTGCTCATTATTCTGAACAGTTTCTGTATTTCTCCTTCCTGGGGAGAATTCACCGGCCACCACAAAACATTGTCAAATAGTTGCCATCTGTGTCTAGACTTCGTCAAGTCAGGCTTTCCCATTTTTCTCTCTCTTTTAGGTGCTTGACATGTTCCTTGTCTTGTCCTGCTGCCCTTCCAGAGAAGGGTCACTATGGCACTGAATACAAGGCCAGGGATGCAGTATGAAGCAGCACTGTAACACTGGGGGGAACAAATGTTTGAAGACTGGACTACAACTCCACAACAGAGTGACAGCTCGAGCACTTCCAAAGCAACAGAGCAAACATGCAAACACAAGGGGCCAGGGAGCAGTTTGATAAAACAGCCCTCTTCTAATGGTTCTCAAAAGGATATGTTTAAAAAAACATCTACAAATAAACTGGCAATTAGGTTCCCTACCACCACGGTTGCTTCCACACTCCTGCAGAGATGGTTTTATACGAAGCACATTTCTTCATTTTTATTTTAACAGATTTCTGCAAAGGCACTAGCTCAAGCTGCCTCAAAAACCATTGAGGCTAAATCAGCCCAGCCACTCGCCCAAAAGCAGTGGGGCTGCTGCCCAGACCTCCTGCTCTCTTGTCTCCCACCAATGCTCACCCATCAGCACCTCAGGCCCATCCCCAAGCAGCTTAGATGGGAAGAGTGTGCTGGGCACACATGCAGTCATAGCCCAACAAAGACTCCCTTTTTTTCATATTGGGCAGACAATTTTAAAGGACTGCAAGGTCTCTTTCAGCAGTTCAATGATAAACCACCCTTAAGACATAAACAGACATAAGCAATGGACGAGGTGAAGGCAGCAGACAGTCTGAATTTGCATATATTCTATTTTTAGCATCTAACATGAATGACCTGAATTACCCATGTAGAGACACCTGCCTCTCTACAATGAAGCTACTGGGAATTGCTGCTCCTAATGCTGTTGTCTGAAATGCATCCAAGTTGGATGCTTAAAGCAGATGGTATCAGTACGTCTCCTAAGGTTCTGCTCTTAAGTAGACAAGCACTAACCTATTTTAAAATGAACAAAATAAATTGTGGGTGTAGGAATGCAGGAGTGCAGGTGATCCAGGGGCTGTAGGGACCTTTTGCAGAATCCCCTTATGCCAGAGTGGTTATAGTTGCTGAGAGAATAACGATGAAGGCTTCTGCCTGAAGCTCTAGGTCACTTCACCCATAGATTTGCCTTTACCTCACCTAACCAGCACAAACTGAAGGTCAACCCAGTACAGAAAAACAAACCTTGTGGGCAAAATGGAGGCCAGCCAAAGAGGTGGGTGGAGGTCAGGAAGTGCCACCTCTCCCTCTGGGTCAGTGCCTGTGCCAGGGGTGGGTGTTGAGTGACAGTGGATGTTCTCAGAACCAGGGCTTTTAAACAAGGAGCTGAGCAGTATTCCTGATCACCTATCATTATGAGTCATGCAGTTCTTCTCCACAATGTTCTGCCCTGCAGTACTGGCCAGATTATGCTATCAGTAGATAATTCTGATTGCTAAAGTTTCCTCAGCAGTTTCAGTCAGGCACAGCAGTCTTCCTTGCTTTCTGATCTTAGATCCAGGTTCCTCTGATAGGAACGGGTATTAAGATTCCTGCAAATATAAAGCTTTATACAGTCTCCCAGAACGTTTAATCCCTATGATTATTAGGGATATATTTACATACTGTCATTATGAAATTTTGTGTGGTTTTGTTAAGTTTGAGGGTTCTTTTTTTGCCTACATCTGTCACAAAATATAAAAATTCTGCCTTGTAAGAGATCTAAGGATTTTCTTTTTTCAGCTTAGCATAAACTATACATGGTGATGTTTGCCTCTGTAGATATGTGGTAGGAATCCTGTTAGCATTTACGTATGCCCCCCTAGATACTTATTCCATGCTTTAATTAACCCTAGGATTTGAGTCTTTCATGAGAAAACTATCAAGTAGGGCCACTGTAGTGTGATTTAACCACTCAGCCAGAGGGAGACAAGGATATTTTATTTTCAAAATTACAAAGAATATGCCAAAAACCTTTTAAGTACAGTAGTTCACTGTCAGTTATAGCACCATGATAAAACTAAAGTCACTGAAGATAGCACCATGACATTAGTAGTTGAAAAGCTAAAATGGATATGCATGTCTGGCCTGTTTTGTTTTACCTAGTTTAAGGGTATCAAGGGAAGTGTGCCATATATATCTGAGAGACTGCTTTTATAACCACAACCTGGCATTTTGCATTTACAGCTTGGCACATACTAGGAGGGAAACTGATGTGCAGCACTCATCCAGTTCCTCAGCTGTGATAAACATTAAGCTGCTACCAATTTCAGAACAGCTAAGCATCTCTTATGGGACTGGGGCAAAGAGGCCACCAGATAAATGAGAGCTCAGGACTACCCCTATCTTGCCTGCCAGTCCCAATCCCTGGGGACAGAAGCAAGAGCACCCATCTCTGTGGGTCTCCTGCTGCTAACCCAATTGGCTGTGTGCTTAGGAGGGGTTTAGGCTACCTGAAATACCACTGAACAGAGAAAATGCACACTTCACCATCTGGAGCTTTCCTCCTCAGCCACAAATGCCAGAAACCTTATTTCAAAGAAAGAAAAAATCCATAGATTTCTTGTCCATATTCTGCTGGGAGCTGACTGCCTCTCTGAAGCTGAACCTGGCTATAGGTCAGGTTTGCAAGTTTCCAGAAGACAGGGAGAGAACCAGACTTAGCTGATAGGTGAAGTAAACAGTGTCCAACACCTTGGCAACGAGAACAAATTCCTAACTATCTGCTTTCATTCATACATGTCTTCTCAAGCTTGCTGTTGTGTTCCTGTGCTGCCAGGCAGCACGAGCATTCTTGCTGTGGGGCTGCAACAGCATGCCTCCCTCAATGCTATGAAAGTTATTTTGCCCTCAAGCAACAGAAATCTCAACACAATTTTGTTTGACAAGGCTTCTCACTAAAAAAAGAATCATAGTATTTAACATGAACAGTCCTTAAAAAATACAATCAACTTCTTTTTAGCTAATCACATCTTCAACTTTCAAATACACTATTATTACACAGTATGAAAATTACTTCAAATAAAAAAATTCTGTAAGTAAGTATATTTTTGTTTCCTTTTGTTTGCTTTATAGTTTGAGCAGCACTTTGTACTTCTATTTGTATAGCTTTTTAATATAAAAGCAGAGGAGAGTAGTAACAATAAAACACGGACAAGAGATTAAGGGAAATGTATTAAGTTAAAAGTACTTTTAACTCTTACTTTAATACTTGATTATACTTCATGGCACTTATCTACATTGTTGAAGGAAGGCAAAAAGTAGGATTTTGCTGCAATTTTACATATTGCTTTATTATCTTATCCCCAATGTTTTTACTCACAGTGCATTGCCAACAGCCATCTCTTGTCCTCTTTAGCAATTTGCCTAAATAAGTCTGGGAGATCAGCAGGAAGCAGCAACGTGCCTGAGATACTTCCACCTCCTCACTGCTCTTAGCTGAGAGAACATTTCCCGGTAAGTGAGAAGAGTCCTGGAATTCTGGAGAGGATCCAGAACCATATTCATGCACGGACTTTAGACAAACACAGATTCAATGCTGCCTTACCTGGTCCATCACCTTGCTGTTTGTGCTGGCCCAAGGCAGTCCCCACCCGTATCACAGACAAACCAAGCACAAGGTAAGGCTGTGTGTTCAAGCCTAAGTCTCTGCCATTTTATAGATCATATTTTGCAGAACACATCTCCATCACCTGATTGATATCCAGCAGGCAAATCAGATGTAAACTGGCTCTTCGAAGGCCCTGTGTTACATCTAACAGAGCCAGTATTTCTGAACAGACTCACTGCTGGAGGTCACTGTGCTCTCATGCAGCCAAAGCACAAGTGAGGCTCACAGGATCTCCTGAACCTTAGCTGGCTCCTGCACCCCTGCTCTGCTGTGTGGAAGAAACTCTGCTTTTGAATTCAATGAGTCCAACTAAGCACGTTCCTAAGTCTTGGGAGGACTGGAAACCAATAAATTTTGCATTGACAGAGATGCAGCTGTTTGAAATAAAAACAACTCTTGATTTTCATTTATGGGCCTATTAGCATTTCTTTTAATTCATGCATTGGGATGTAGAGGTTTCCCTCTCCCTAAATCTCTTTGAAAGCATGTTAATGTGTCTTCTTTTTAATTTAGCAAAAGCAAAAATGGACAGATTCAGGAAACCTATTACTACACAGAAAGAAATGGTGTGAACTAAATAGGGCACCATCAACAATTACAATAATATGTAGGTATAACTGTGTCTATCTGCTATTAGAGTGGAAGGTAAGTGCAAGGAACAGAACCGTGATGAACGTAAAAGCCTTCCTAGAGAAATCTTCCAGGAAAATGTGATTATAAACAGTAGGCAAACCACAGTGCAGGTTTTCACATGACTTTTACCAAGGCAAGCCTGACTTTCCTGCTGGGAGTGTGCTGAAGTACAGTTGTATGGAGAACAAAAGGAAAGATGCAAGAAGCCAGAATGAAATAAACTTGACCATCATGTTTCAGTGAACTTGGTCATTGTGCAGGACATGAAACACACTCCAGTATCCAGCTGAGGGCACTGCAATGGGACATCTTGGCCATACAATACACATTCCAGGGTCCAAAGAGCTCCAAATGCAAGTTGGGACCGTGTTCATAACACCCACACCTACTTTCACTTTGACTCATTCAAGTGTGAAATGTGCAGGAGAGTGAAGAGCATCCTGGCTAAAATTAGTCAGGTTGGATGCCTGCCATCAACTCAGGTGGCTGAAACAGGGTCCTGGCTTCAGCTGCAACCAGTTTGTTGCAATCTTCAGCCATGAAGCTGAAGCAAACTTCACAATTATTGTAACAACCTTATTCCCAAATCTCAACTGGGCAAGTAGCTTCCACCCATATGTGGTGGGCTCACCTGGAAGACCCTTTGCTGCATCCACCCTCTTTTTCCCTGTGCATGGGTCTGCAGGGGAGGGGGTTCCCAGAAATGCTGGGAGAAGCTGTGGGCAGCTGCCCCCTTAACAGTGTGTGGAAAGACAACCACAGCTAAGAGCAGCTTGAAAATAGAGGGACAAGATGGTGAGACAGAGTAGGAACTAAAGTAGCCAGGAGAGGTATCACCCCTGAGCTGGGCTGCTGGAGAATCCATCTGGGATTGTTGGACATAGTCAAGGCTGTGGGTAGCACAGTGCTGCTGAAGCCAGCTGTCTGGTTTGCCTTCTGATATTTAGCCAACTGATTTTCCTTGAAAACATTCCATACGGACTTTTGGCATAAAGCATTCTGGCAGAAAAGTCTGTAAAGAGTTAATGTTTGGTTTCCAGCTCTGGCAGGCTGGATTCATATCCTACTTACATTTAAATGAAAATCTTCTCCCTGTGCTTTTCCAAAAGAAGTTCCCATTCCATTTAAGCAGATAAGTAGCCTTTTACTCTAGAGAGGCCAATATGGGAAAGTGAAGGAATGATGTTGATTAAAAGAGGCAAAACAGTCCCTGCCTTCCTGAGGAGACCTACACAATTCTTAAAACACCACACTAAAACAGCCTGAGCAGGAGGTTCATATTGGAAAAGTGACTTTCAGGATTGGGTTCCTGATCATTTAAAAACAGAGCACCAACCCAAACTGCATTCATATTAAGTAAAACAGTAGTTTTAACTAATTTTCACTGAACAAGGAAATGTCTTAATTTTATTTTGAAGAATGTGGTCAAATATATTTTAGCAATTTCACTTGTTAATTTAAGCTCTAGTTTTAGTATCAGCTGAAAAGTGAAGTATTCTCAGTTTATCATCTTTGTTTTTGCAATATTTTACTTCCTTCATTTTTACCTAAATTTAAGTATAGCTGTTTTTCTTTCAATAGCAACATTTGGTATTTGTATCAGACAATCACCATAGCTAGAAGGTATCTGTAACTGTGAACCCAACAGAAGTGAGTGTTATCAAATAGTTTCAGAAACAATGTTTGACAATTTATAAAATGCCACATATTATGATAATACTCAGGCCCATGCATTTCCCTGAAAACAAAACAAACTAAAATTAATTTCTGGCTGAAGTTATGGATAAAGCATAAAAGATAAATGACCAATCTCTCTTGCCTTTTTGTCTGGTCCCCTGACCACACTAAACCTCGGCATTTAAATGGAAGTATGATCCCAAAGTCTTTGAATTTTTTTCTGAGATGAATATATAGGAATGCCATCCACAGCACAAAAGACGAAACAGGACAAAAATTATAAAATAGGGAGGGTTTTGATTTGATTGCATATGAAAGATCAGCAGAGACATTTTGGAAGCCAGATCTCCCACAGCCATGACACGTTTCACCTATAGCTGTCCTAAAACTTAGCATTGTGTGCTGCTATCTTCTTTCACTGACTGTCAGTTGCCTGATCAATGGGCTGTATCTAATCTTGTCTCTCTTCGTCTGCAACCTCAAATTTCCCACTCCAGTTCTACTAAAAAGATGCATGCCAGTGTGAATGCACCACCAAACTTGATTAAACTCCCCTTCTGCCTCTGCTCTGCAAAACCATCTTTTATCTCATGTGTACCTGGAAAGGTGGGAAGAGAGCCCAGGATTCCAATACTCACTTTCTCACACCTTAGAGACACTGGAAGTCACCAACTGTGTATGGCAGCTGGAGGACATGCAGACCTATTCCCTTCCAGATTCAGCCCTTTCTGAAGACAGAAGTTTCCACTCTTCAGGCTAGTGCCCTGCCTGCAACTTTACTCTTGTTTTCCTGGTACATGGATGCACAAGGTAGAGTGGCATTTCTTCCTACGCTCATGCAAGAACCCGTGATCTTGCCTTTATTCCAGATGTAAATCAACAAAACACATTTATATGACAGGAAGGATTTCTCTCAGCAACTAGTCACCAGTGATGGAAGGTGTAAAGTACCCCTAAAAGACCCTCTAAATCCTGTACTTATCCTGAGTTTTGTGGGATCCATTCCTCCTTAGCCAGCTTTGAACATATTAAAAACAATGTCTGTTTGCATCCCAAAGCAACTTACTCTTCTTTCTAAAGCACCTGTTCAGCAATTTTGGACAAAAGGAAACCTGAATCACTGGATGTTTGTATAAGGGGGAGAGGATGTCCATGATAGACAAAAATCCTGTAATACTGTCACCTTCAAGCAGAAACAGCAAAGCCTATGAGGTGACTAACAGGTGTGTCCATTCTCAGGGATGATTCTCCACATCAAGCACTGCAGGAGAAAACCCTCTTGACCTGAAGAGTTAAGTGCAGTCTGGTCCAGGAAACTGAGGTGACTGCCCCCCTGGAATTCAAGCCCTTGGGAATGACTGGTGCACTACACTGTGGACCTCCAAATGAAGCACTTGTGTAAATACAGATAATCTTGGCATTATCCTTATCTATCTTTACAGATGCTATTAACATATCTACAGATAAATGCTGGGGGAAGATAGCTAGGAATTTGTATGTGAAGGAGTCAAGTTGAATACAACTGTGGATGATTAAACCAGTTTTAATTAACTAGTACCGAGCCAGTCAGCACTTGGGAGCAAGAATGCAAATAAAGTGTTTGTGTGTCCTGGGCATCTGGCCTGGGCAGCCAGGGCAGCAGCCACTACAGAAACTGCTGAAATATCTGCAGATCATAGAGCAAGCACAGCCAACATGAGCATGACAGGTCACTCAGCTGTAGTAAAAAAAAATGCATAGTGAAATGGATATGGACTCCTGCACTAGAAAATGAAAGCTTTCTGGGGTGGGGGAAGCAAGGCCCAAAATGTAAACACACAGAGCAGTATTTTAATCTCTTTATACTGTAGGAGAAGGGACAAATACACCCTACAGTTTAAGCAATGTCACTACATCCATTCTGACTGTCCTCTTGTAGCATTAGTCCATCAGAACTGTTTGACTTGCCTTCAATGGAGTCTTAGTATGACTAATTATGACAAACTTTTCAGAGAAACCGTAATTAAAAATTGTTTTTTAAAGGATTTGTCTACATTTACCTTGAAAATACCATATTTAACCAGTTACTTAAAAATCAAAGCTACTGATATTCAGGGAAACATTTCTGCTGGATTTCTGCTTTTACTTTTTCCTTTTAAATTCTTCTTCTGAACTTGCCCCACCTGACACCAAAACTTTTGTTTCTCTCCAGTTCAGTTGTTTCTTTCCAGTTCAGCAGCAGTGAGGTTGCTCACCATATGGAAAATATTTTAATAGTAAAACATACCAGACACTTTCCAAAAGTACTTCAAAATTAAATGTAGCTTTGAAATTACAGAAAATTATGATTTATATTTTGGTATCACCGAGAACATTGTATTTTAAGAATTGTTCCAGCAAGGGATGCGAGGTAAGTTATAAAGTCTTAAGGAATACAGTAAAGCAACACCATTCATAATTGGGTGTATTGTTTTTGGTTCACAGCAAGAAATTTGTTTTTGAAAAAAATTACTGAAGGACACTCATGTTAGAAATCACTCGTAGTCAAGTATTTGCAATAAATACTTAAAATTAATAGCTGAGTGTGGAGGGAACTTTCCAGTTCTGCTGCCATTCTTTATTTGAGCTGTCCTAACATGGGATCCTGGGCTCAGATTCCCTTGAGCCTGGAGGAATGTGTAAGGAGGTGCACCTAGGACTTGTTTCCAGCATCCTGATCCTCACCACACAGACACAAAGGACGCAAAGGTTTTTGAGAATATGCCGGGCACCTCACCTTGTCTGCAGAGAGCAAATGGCTCACAGACAGTGCATGAGAAAACCCACGTGGCTCTGATTTTCCAAATGGGAAGCTTGCCTAAGGAGTTCTTCTGCTTGGTCCATTTTTCTTGCTTAGTACAGTTGGCAGGAAGGAGAATGAACCAACTGAGAGAAGGGCAATCAGGACTCTCTCCTGTGTGTAGTCAGCCCACACCTGGCACTATTTGCAGCTCAGTACTGCAACCTCTGCTTCCCTTGAGGGCACCTGAAAATCTTTATTCAGTTCCTGATTTATTCTCCTGTGAGGTCAGTTTAAACCTCCTTTCTCCCCAGCAGTGATTAACTTCACTTAATTTTTGCTACAGTTAAATCCAGTACTGGTACCTTTAAATAAATGTTGGGGATTTTTTTCTTTTCTTTTCTTTTTTCCCTAATGATAGTGCTGAAAACAAATAGAAAGCAATCAAACGAAAGATAATTGAAATCAGCTTATCTGCTCAGATACTGCAGCCAGCATTGCTCAGAGAGGTCAAAACTTGCACCTGAAATATGAGACCTTTTCTCACAACGTACTGTGAAAAGCCAAGTTGGCTGTGACTTTTCCCAATACAGATTCATGGGTTAAAATGGACTTTAAAGACCATGTAGTTCCAATCCCCTGCCATGGGCAGAGACACCTTTTACTAGACCAGGATGCTTAAAACCTCATTCAACCTGGCATTGAACACTGTCAGGGATGGAGCATCCACATCTCTGGACAACCTGTTCCAGTACTTCAACACCCTTATAATAAAAAATTCAAAAGTTTAAAGCCATTGGCCCTTATCCTTTCACTATCAATCCTTCTAAAAAGTCTCTCTCCAGCTTCCTTGTAGACTGCCTTCAGGTATGGACAGGCTGCAATAAGGACTCTCTAGAGCTTTCTTTTCTCAAAGCTCAACAGTCTCAACTCTCTTGGCTTGTGTTCACTGGAGAGGTGCTTCAGATTTCTAATCATCTTTGTGGCCTCCTCTGAACTTGCTCAAGCAGGTCTCTGTTGCCCCTGTGCTGGAAACCCTGAGCTGGACACAAGGGCAGAATCCCCTCTCCCACCTTGCTGGTCACGCAGCTTTGGATGCTGTGCAGGACACAACTGGCTTTCTGGGCTGCAAGAGCACAGTGCTGGGTCATGTCCACCCTCTCACCCACCAGCACCCCTAAGTCCTTCTCCTCTGGGCTGCTCTCAAAACATTCTCCACCCAGCCCATATTGTACTTGGGACTGCCCTGACCCAGGTGTAGGACACTTTGCACTTGGTCTTGTTGAGCTTCATAAAGTTTGCACAGGCCTAACCCTCAAGCCTGTCCATGTCCCTCCAGCATACTGACTGTACCACACGAGTTTGTCATCTGCAAAATTGTGAGGATACACTCGATCCCACTTTCCATGTTGCCAACAAAGATGTGCAGCAGTTCCAGTCCCAGTACCAATCCCTGAGTACCCCAAGCCACAGCTCACCATTTGGACATGGAGCCACTGAATGCAACTCTGAGTGTGACCATCCAGCCAATGAATGGCATCCACTGAATGGTCCATCCATAAAATCCATTCTGTTTCCCCTTTTTAAAAATGGGGGTTATGCTTCCCCTCTTCCAAACAGTGGGAACTTCATCAGACTGTCACAGCCTCTCAAGTATGATGGACAGTGGCTTAGCCACATCATTTTCCAGCTCCCTCAGGACTCACGGATGCACCTCATCAGGTCACATGGATTTTTGCACCTTCAGGTTTCTGTGGTGGTCTAAAACCTGATTTTCTGATTTTCTGTGGGTGGTTCTTCATTCTCCCAGTCCCTGCCTTTACCTTTTGTGACTTGGGTGGTGTGGTGGGAACACTTGCTGGTAAAAATTGAACTGAACAAAGTAGCTGAGTACCTCAGCCTTCACCATGTCCCACATAACCGCATTCTTTTGCAATCATACTTTAAAAACTATCTAGGCAAATTGAAACAAAGAGCATATTCATAAAGATTGCATTATGCTCCTAATTTGTCATTCAGGAAGATTCTGGCTTAATTCCCTGTTTGTTCTGATTCCAGTCCCTTGTCTATAAAACAGGATTAATAGCACACCTTATCTCACAGCATTTTTCTGGGGACACAGACATTTATGAGCCTGGTGTGATAATAAGATCACATAGAAGACAAGAAGCTTAGAAATATCCAAGACAGACCATTCCTGCTAGCACTGTCTGGACAATAACCCAACAGGCTTAGCGCCAGCCAGATATGAATACAAGGACTACCTTGCTCCTTTGAGCCCTGGGTCAGTGTTTGTTACAGCAGAGGGAGTGCAAGCAAGCCAGATCAGACAGAGACAGTTGGGAGAAAGGGGAGGTCCTGGGCAGGAGAGTGGCCTGGGAGACCAGAAGACATTGGGGAGGAGAAGGGAAGAATGGGCTGAGTAGCAGGTAAAGACATGGTGAAAGATACGATCAGAGCGGGAGAGAAAGGAAACAGCAGAGGCAAATGATGGTGAAAATAGAGAGGGGAAGGTGTAAGCAGCTATAAAGGAAACTTTCTTGCAAGGCACACATCCCTCGCCTATGAATCATAACTATTATTAACAATCATTAATTCATGCTCATATGAACCTATCAGTAGTTCCTGGAGCTGTTCAGTAAACCCAGCCTGGAGTCAGTTCAGGTCTTAATGGATATTTTCTCAGAATTTTCAGTTCCTATGTTCCTTGTGTCTTGTAACAGCACCAGCAGTGTCACCTCCAAGCAGCCTGAATACTTCACATTTCTCACTCCCATGCAAACACACAGAAGCGTAGTTAAATTATCTTACATTACACACACACAGTCTCCTTTCAGAGTAGCTTCACAGAGTAAAATACCATTTCTTCTTAACCAAAGACATCACTCCCTCCACCAGGATCAACATAAAGATTAGCTGTGAAGAGCACGAGGGAAACTGATTGATTGGCTGATTTTCACTCATCACTCACGTGATAACCGTGATAACCATGTGTCCTGAACACTCAGCCCTTAACAGTTCATCAGTTACACACCTGCCAGCCTCTCTCTAAACTGTTGCATAAATAAGGAGATAAGAAAATAGCAATGAGCATTACCACATCCCTTGGATTTCACTGCTCTTTGTGAAAAAATAAATGGACTGCACATAAAGGTTGAGCTGGAGATGAGGGCTCCTTCTTTCTCTCTGTAACTCACAAAGTATAAAAGCTTTCAGACATTTCTTCCCTCAACATGAAAAGGATAAAGCAGCTGTTACCACAGGCTGTTATTTGGGAGGCTGTTAATAGAAATCAGGCAGAAATGTATAGCTCTCCCTGTCTCTCACACATCAGTGTCAGGGCACAGTCTAATAACTGAGCGATAAATCACGTGAGCCAAAAGTCCAAACATCCCACTGTCTCACTAAAGCAACTGCACCAGTTTTCATCCTCCTGCCTAATAGTGCTTAATCCTCACCCAAGTGACATGAAAGGCACCATTTTCTGAGGAAGGAAAGGATTCCCCAAGGAATTCACTCAGGTATACGCTAAGACCAAATACAATGCATGTGTCTTTGAGAAATCTCTTTCTTGTTTATTTTGACAGCTTGACAAATTTATTTGCTAAAACAATAAATGCAGCTCTGGCATTGCTGTATAGCCCTTATAAACAGTACAGGCTTTTGTAGACTTCTTGTTGTAGAGGACTTCTAAATGCTATAGGATTTTGTAGTAATTTCCAGTATCTTACCACAATTTCCAATCCAATCACCTCAAAATCGAAATGGTGAGACACAAATCGAAAGCCCATTTCACCAAGTAGAGACCTTCAGATTAAATTTCTAAACTGAGCAGCTACAAATGCCCTTGGGAAAATCTTTGTTTACTCTCAATAGTTTTATTTGTTTGTGAATGCTGGATGTTTCTCTAACTACTGAACACATCAGTACTTCAAATGCAGGACAAAATAGTACCTGCCAATGTTTTTTACAGACCAGGTTTCCCCTTACCCCAACCCCCAGAGTTTCAAATACTGTTCACATACATATTATTATGTTCTTGCTATTTCCACTAAGGCCTTAAAATTACACTGAACCCTGGCCACAGAGTGAAAGCAAAACTATGATTTTTCAAATCTCAAAGAGCACTTGGCTGCAGGACCTACTGTGCCAATGCACACCCACAGGCAAATGGACCTGGTTCCTTATTCACAGCAGTATAAACATGGTGATGGTATCCATTTTGCTGTGGATGTTTCTGGTCCAACACATCTAAGCCAAAGGGCTGTTAACTTCAGATGGTTTTCTAAAGGTGAAGTAAGAGTAAAAATGTCTATGCTTATTAGACTGGGCAATTAACATTTTAGGGGAAACCCCTTATAATGTGGGATGGTGAGAAATGAACTATTGATACACTGTAAAACGGTGTAGCATCAGGAAAACACCAAGACACACTGAATTAGGCATAATACTAAGGAGCAAGATTCTTACATCAGAGAAAAAAAAAGTTTAAATTAAGTTCACACATTTCTGTGGTGGTGATAAGACCCAGGACAAGATGAAGGGAAAACCTTTCATTTTGTTTATTTTTTTCCCACGAAGCCCACTTGATCCTCCTGCTGTGTGTACTTGAAGTGCTCAACCTGCTCGCTCCACACTGGAGCTGGTGCTGGGATGTCACGGCCACTGAAGCAGCCTGTGACTGACAGGTCACTTTAGCAGCATAAACCTGATCTGCATCTGAGACTGTCACACAAGCACATTGGTGTCAAACCTGCCTCAGCAGACAAGGCACAGCTTATGTTGGCTTGACACTGTGCACAGGAGATCACGCTGCTTTTTGAGTGACTCTGAGCCTGCAAACCAGAGATCAGCGTTTTGCCACCTCCTCTCCCAGAGCTAGGTGTTAGATACTCTGAAGCTGTTTCTAGGAGCCAAAAGCCTGTACTGTCAACAGTCAGGGATAAGCTGGCCGACACCTGCACAAGGATGCCATTGATGCTGTCTGCCTTCTTTGATGCACTACAGCTTTTTGATTTTTACTCTTGATCCAGTACATGTTCCTGGGTGACAGAAACTGTTTGAGGCTTTTATGTAAATCGTTTCTTGATCCCTTGAAATGGCAGAGGACAACTCTCCATGATGCTGTGCATTGTATTTGTGTGGACAGGTTTTGGTAGAGGGTAAGCTACAGGGCTGGCTTCTGGGAGAAGCTACTAGAAGTTTTTCCCCCATCTCCAGTGGAGTCTATGCTATCCAGCTCCAAGATGCTGGCCAAGTCTGAGACTACCAGCAACAGTGGTAGCACAAAAAACGACTGCAGATGGAGAAAGGAATGAGAATATGTGAGAAAAACAGCTCCACAGACTCCAAGGTCAGTGAAGAAGGAGCAGGACGAGGTGCTCCAGCATGAAAGGAGACTCCCCTGAAGCCCACTGAAATCCATGGTGGAGCAGATATCCACCTACAGCCTATGGAGGACCCCACACCAGAGGCAGAGGGATGCTCAAGGGAGGATGTGACATGGGAAGAACATGCTGGAGCAAGACTTGAGGCCCCATGGAAAAAGGAGCTCTCATGGGAGCCAGATTGCTGGCAGGACTTGTGAACCCACTGGGAGACCTGTGCTGGAGCAGTTAATGAAGAATTGCAGCCAGTGGGAAGGACAAATGCTGGAGAAGTTAATGGAGAACTGTCTCCCATGGGAGGAACTCCACACTGGAGCAGAGGAAGAGTATGAGAAGTCCTCCGAGGAGGAAGAATCAACAGAGACAATGTGTGGTGAATTGACTGCAGCTGCTAGTCCCCATTCCCCTTGGGCTACTGGGAGAGACAAAGTACAAAAAAATCGGAAATGAAGTTAAGCCTGGGAAAAAGGGAAGGGGAAAGTGTTTTTAAATTTGGTTTTATTTCTCATTATCCTCCTTTGATTTGGCTGCACAATGAATGTAACTCACTTCCCCAGGTACTCTGTGACAATAACTGCAGAGCGATCTCCCTCTGTCCTTATCTTCACCCATTTCAGAGTGTTTTCTATTCCCTGCCCAGCTGAGGAGGAAAGTGATAGAGTAGCTTTGGTGGGCACCTAGAGTCAATCCAGGATCAATCCACCACATGGAAGTGCTCTCTCCTATATCAGTGTTTGCATGGTTTGCTCTGGTGCCATCTGGCTATAGGCTGGGAAACCTCATGGATACACATACATCCACAGTGAATTTTAAGGCCCAGCTTTGCTTGGTCAGGCCTAGACAGTCCTGGGTGCAGCATGACTACAAGGTACACATCAAACTCTACCAGTTTCTTTATATTTTGCTGCAGAGAAAAAATGGAGAAGAAAAGCACCACTTAGAACACAGACAGTCAAGCTTGGCCCAGAGAATGAAGGCTTGGGACATTCACACCACCATGTCCATCATATTCTAATGCTGTTAAATGTGGAGACCTCACCTCTGGCCCAGAGTGTTATCAAGCCAGAGTCATCTCTGTGCTGGAAAGTATTTTGAATGACCATCAGCATGTTTTCCCTACCTCTGGCACCCTGATGAATACATGTATGACACCTCAGGGCTGCCTGCAAGCTCTTACACGCACAACACGCACAGCTGTACATTACTGCTGCTCCAGCAGCAGATCTGGTGTAGCAGCTTCCTGGGAGCCAAATGGATAAAGGTGCTGACACAGCTGTGAGGATGGTGGCACGAACAGGGCTGAGCAGAGCAAGTGGGAGAAGGGATCTGCCACTGACAGTGCAGCAACATGGACTCAGAGCCCACGAAAGCCGTGCTGCCAAGTGCAGGGCAGCTTTTCTCCCTGCTTATCAAATGGAGAATGTGATACCTGTCTTGGGACGCTCTCTCGGCTGTTAGTGACTGTCACACACCTCCAGCAGACGCTTCAGGCTGTGCTGCTGACAAATCTCTCCATGGATAGGAAAACAAATCCCTTCTTTGCCCCTTGCCAAATGACTTTATTTGTTTTAAAGAAAAAAAAAGGGAATTCTTGTTCTGCTGAATAAGATACTTGGTATTCAGCAGTGACTTGTTTGTTCCAAGGAAGCAGAAAGGGCTTGGGATAAGCTTACTACATTAAGCACAGCTCAAAATACAAATGATGCCTCTTCAAAAGCTCTGTACAACCTCCCTCAATGCTTTTACATATTACTGAGTGTTTTCCAGGGAGGCTGCATCTATTGTGGCTGCTAGAAGGTCCATCAGCTAAGGTATGAAATCAGGATTATTTTTAGAAAAATACAGGCTGGTGGAGGAGGCAGCATGCGATCAGAGATGCAAAAGCCTTTCTTGGCAATGCATCTTGACCCCACAGGGCTTAAAGGATATGGCTGTAACAAGACCTTTTTATGCACAAAACCAGGAAAAAATCTGGCTCAGCCTACAGGCCTATTTTCCATGGTATTTTCCTCTTCTCCTTCTATGGTCCAGTTTGATACTCTGCTTACTGAGCAGCTAATGCACGCCTCCCCTGGTTTCAGAAGTAAACACTCAAGAAATACTAGTTTTTTAAAAGCAATTTGCATTCTTTAGACACTATTTGGTAGAAATCCTAGCAGGTCTGCCTCAGATAGTCTCAAATTAGCTTTCTCACAAGGAGCAATTTCTCATTTGTCTTTTGATAGAAAAATCCTCCTTACCTATTATTAAAGGCTGCATGCTGGGAGGGTCTCTGCTGTGTGATCCCACTCACACAGGAAGGAAAAAAATAGCATAAGCTAATAAATCCATTAGCTAAAATCATGCACTGCCAGTAAAGAGCATACAGTCCCCTGGAAAGTCATTCTGAAAGTCTTTCTTGCCATCCATCCTGAAGAAGTTAAACCTGTAAGAAGCAGGCTTTTGCTGCACAGGGGATTGACATTTAGCTTGAAAATAGTGCACTAAAACCTAGTGTCTGCTTTTAATATAAAGTTGAATGAATTATAACCCATGTGTCTTGTGAGCTGATTTCAGGCACTAAACAACTAAATTTTCTCACTATCAGAAAAAATTCGTTTCCATTTGAAAAACAACTGAGCTTTCAGGAGTATCTCAGGAGGCTAATCTGCACCAAACTTCTGTTATAAGCTTGGTTCAGGCAAACATTTTAGACACGGCCCACCCAACAAGTTCCTAAGCCTTCCCAAATCTGAACGCATATGGGTGGCCATGTTTAAAAAGATTTAGTCACTGCATGTCCACCATAGCTTGGAGACCATTCAGGTTTCCATTCCTACTTATGCCTTTGGTTAAGGCAACAAAATCTCTTTTTTTTCAGGCACAAATGCTCCTTTCAAAGCTAAACTTGAACATCCCATTTGGACAACATACAGGCCCAGCAACTTAAAGCACTCACTCTTTGGAATTTGAGATGCTCTGTCATTCCAGTGCTGTTCCATTCCAATGCCCAGGAGTAACAGACTAGCCCTCTGCCTCGAGAAGAGCCAACACGTTTGAAAATAACTCCCATGGCAAGTTATTTCTACATCACTGAAACCCTGCTTTCAGTCTCCTCCTGATTGTTATTCTGTTTCTTTGGCCTACTGATTCAAGTGCTACACAGGAAGAAATCTGAAAAGAAAATGCAGCCCAAACAGGAAACTTGCAGGTAAAAATCCAGCACTAAACTGCAAAAACAAGCAAGCTAGAAAACAATGCAAAGTCAAATATAATTTGCTTGTTGTTTCTCTCAAATACAATTTTCTGCAGTTTTGCTGGCCATATATGTATATATGAAAAGATATATACACACACAGAGATGGAGCAATACATTGACGCATATGGGCCAAATTCCACAAATCTCAAAGCTCCTCTAAGTGTCAGAAGCAGCTGAATTCAGAGTGCTTTAAATTGGAGTTTTTTCAAGTAAATAAGCCAAAAAGTGGACAAACAATAAAATTTTTATCCTCTGTTATGCAAAATCAAGAGTAACTATTAGTTCTACATGCAGAAGTGAAACTTCTATATCAAATATTCACCTGACTTCAACACAGCCAAAGGATTGCACTTTCAGAAGGTTCCAGGGGAAACATGTTGGTATAAATTATAGTGTTCTCCTTTCTGGCAACACCTGAACATAGATCTCTGAGGAGGAGTGAAAACAGGGGTGTCTCATGAAGATGTTGCCCCCAAACTTTGGTTAGCTACATCTTTCCTTCTGGTCTTAACCTACAGAGTATTATATCTAATTTAAATGCATCTTCCAACCCCATATGTAAAATTAAAACTGCTGTTACCTAACCATATGTATGGGTTTTGTGTGGTGCATGGCAGTTTTTAAGATAAGCCTGTCCTACAACCACTACCCGGTTATAGGTATACTCTGATATCTTTTCATGAAATGTCATTTAGGACATCAGTGAGTGCTGTATTAATTTAGTTTAGTAGAAGATAGCAAGAAGAAAATAAATCAGTAACAGCATTTCATTACCACTGGCTGGCCCTCACAATCAAAGCCATAGCAAGTGTGGAGTGAGTCGTGTGTCTGGCTTGTTGTGCTTCCTTTGCAGCTGTGCCCTGGCAAACACACTGGACACACAGAGAGCATGAGAGGTTTGGTACATATTCATGAATAGTGGGAATACAAAGTGTTCAGATAGTCACCCACAACTGGGGAACGCCTGAACTTGTCAGGTTACCTGGTACAGAGTAGCATAAACCTAGGGCCAAGAAGATTGATATTTTCAGGTACTGACAATGTTTTTACCCTATTTCCTAAGCTAAGCCTCTCTCATGTCTCCACATAAAATGTCTGAATGCAAAGTATCCATCAGAATTTTAGTTGGCAATTTTTTCCTGTTTGTGTGAAGAAAGACATTATATAGCATGCATTATATCAAGAACTTTCCTTGCTTTTGGCCCTTGTGTGTTCCCATTGTATGTAGTGCTCTGCTCACTTGTCCTTGTTTTGAGAAACAAAACAGCACAAGGAGTCATAAGCTGCCCCTTTACCATTAACTTCTGATTTTGTGATGGTTAATTTTGATTCCCATCATTCCTGTATATGGAAAGCCCCTCACTTTTTATGTGGAGTTGTGTCCTCTCTGTCTATTCCTTTACTTTGCCCTTTGGCAGGCGAGACACCCTAAAATAATCTGACGGACAGAAACACAATTGCTTTTACAAGCACAACACTCGATTATATATTTGTTTTGAAAACAGTTTCCAGAGCCTAGAGTATGTCAGCAGAAGCCAAAGAAAGAGTGTTGATGTTGTTACAAGGTCAGCTCTTCAGAGACAGTAGGCAGCAGTGTTGGCACTCTGACAAATTATCACCATGGCAAAGATGGCAGCTCTCAGGCAGTGATTCAGCTGCTTTGACAATACCAAGGCTCCAGCTAAATGTGAAGATAAGTTACTCACACTCCCTCACACACACACTCACATGCACTCTACCTTGGGAGTTCCTTAATGTCTTTTTTTTTTTCTTTTTTAATGAAGTTGCAGGCTTTAAGGAAACATAGAAGCAATGTGCTTAAGGCAGACAGACCACAGTGAAAGTTCTTTCTCCTCATACACATACATTCTGTGTATATATACACCTACCTACACAGACACCTCCTATTGACAGGATACTATTATAAACAAGCTTTTCCTTAAACAGTTGAAACAGTGAAATGTGATTCTCAAAAGACTTCCTCCCTCTGTAGGAAATTTCCATCTTTCCCCTCAATAACGCAAGGGCTTCTGCACCTTTGTTTGCAGGGGGACAAGCTGCAACAGCTTTCCCAGGCAAGAGACAGCATGCACAGGGGCTACACACATGAGGATGGTTCAGTTCCCAGAGCCAACATCTAACTGCTCAGTCCTGCTCCTCTTTTGCTCTCTGGTGAACAAATTTTGGCTTTTTCCCCCTCTGCTCAGTTGCCAACACTTTTATGAAAGTAATAGCTGCTATGTAATTCTGTAAGTATTTTATACATACCTTGTCCTCTTGCATGTACACAGTGAATACTTGCATCTCTAGTGTTAGCAGAGTCATACTCCTTACTCCACATGGCACCAGAAAACTTACTGATGGAGGGAGATGTTTAGAGGCTATGCATAAATTGCAAGTCCTCTTAAAACTACAATTATGGGCAGGCTTTTGGAAGCTGCTCTGTAAAAATGTACGAATTTCACTTGGGCTTTTATACTGAGGTCTTTTGTTTTAAAGTCACTGCTTTTATTTAATTTTGTGGGTCTGGGAGGACAATTTTAAATTTGCAGGAATGAAAAAACAGCTTAAGATAAACTACCTTGAGTAAAGCGTGCAGACTTGCTAGGAGACATTGCCAGCACTATCTGCTCTGAAAAGCCTTTTTCCAGGCTGGAAAAAAGCTGTAAAATTCACTTTGCTATACAAGGTGCTTTGTTCTTAGTCTTGATATTAAAAAAAAGCTTTTGTATCTACATGTGCCCTGCAGCCTTGTCCTCACTCCATGTTAGGGCAAGAATGGGGTGTGCATCAGCTGCCTCCTCTGCCTCTGCCTTGGCCTGCACCCAGCAGCTTGTAGCTGTTCCAGAGGAAAGGAAACCCAGCACAAGGAGATCCCACGCACCCTCACCAAGCCCCAGCTGGGACCATGTAGGGAGGATTCAAGCCTTGATTTACCATCCAAGATGTACTCCAACAGGGAAAATATTTTAGCATTTCTGTGTGAGCAGGTTTTTCCCCAGGAAAGGTAGAGGGGTGGCTGCTGAACTGTATGGGAGCGCATGTCCACATGCAAGGGCCAGGACCAGGAGAGTGGTGCAACTACTGGGGTGATGGGCAAGCCCACACTTCCCAAGCAGACATGGCACAGTGGAGGCTCTGATACTTCCTTCCTCAGAGGAGTTTACCCAAGGAAGAATTCTGTCTTTGAAGCATGACATGACCCAACTAATCAGCCTCCAGGGCAATGTGGATCCCTACTGCTCTCTCCCCACTGGTAGCCCTTAAGACTGCAGTGAGTACACAGTGTGAAGCAGGAGAAGGCAGACATCTGGCTGCTTATAAAACAGCAGCATTAATAGGGTTTTCCTAGCAGTTGCTAATTCCAGGAAGTCTCCTCAATTTCCTATGAAGAGCCATTATGAGGAGAACATTAAAAAATACTCAAAAGTGTTTAGAAACATAAGGATATTTTTCTGGAAGTACTGGGGTCTTGGAATGGTTCAGAACTCTCAGGAATAAATCACTGTCTAATGACGATGAGCATCTCTGTGATCTTATGCGTCTGATACTGAAAGCTGGAATTTTGCACAAAGTGCTCCTGCACCAACAGTTTTAGTATGTGCATATCTCCATTCTTCATAACTGGAGGTCATGCAGCCATGCACTCACTGCCCTATTGCTCCTTTATCCTTCAGTGGTTTTGGTGTTTGTGAACAGAACATCAGAGTTGAATGCTGTGCCAGTCTGCCTACCTTCTTCCCCTCCTCCTCAGGATGCCTTTCCAGCAAGACCTGGACTTCTCTGGATTAGCCAGTGTGGGTTGCAGGAAGGTCTCAGTTTGCACAGGCTGAAGCAGCATGGGAAGATAGGCAGAAAGCCAAGTCCACTGCAAAACTTGGCTGTTTTTCCAAAGGAGTGATTATCACTCTTTTTTTCCCTTTCAAGAAGATACTTGTCAAGGGAGTATTAGTGGAAAATGGAAAGACAGAGCTGTGTTCCTGGGCCTATGATCAGGTATGATTACAGACAGAAAAGATAAATGTACTTTCAGTGAGTGCAAGGGCCACTGTCAAAGCCGCAGGAAAGGTGGAAGCATTCTCCCATTAGGGGAATACATAAAAGGCAGGAGAGAAAAGTAAGCCAGGCAGTGTTTTCAAAATGAGAACGTACATAAGGACGCAGGAGTCTAATTTTAATCACCCACATATGAAATGTTTGGCCCAGCTCCCAATCTTTTTTGAGCAGCAGTTGTGTAGGATTCCCTTTCCTGGCAGGTGTGCAGGTTGTTCCCTCTCCTCTGCAGCGGGGTCCAAATGAACACTCTTGACTCTTGTCAAGGGGAAAAGAGACGCACTAAGGAGAAGCCGCCCGTGCAGCAGAGCACTGGCTCCTCTCCGGCAGTGAGAACAGACATCAATCAAGATTCCCAGCCTGCTGGCAGGTGGATTCCCCTCCCACCACCATCACTGCTCTGCAAGCAGGTGGCCAGGTCTGGAGGAAGCCTCATTTCCCGTCACCCACACACACACGGATGCCAGTAACACTAACCTTTATCAGGGTGGGAAGCAATCAGTAACTCCTTGAGCTGGGGGAGGGTCTCTGAAAGGAGGGACTTCTTCCTTGCCAGGGGTGCCATATGCTGCCTTTTACTTTAGAAAACTGTAAATGCACAAAAAAAGGACTCTCCCTTTTTTTTTAAACCCAATACCTATTTATCCCAGACATGCTGCTCAACATACGCTGTTTACAAGCAACAGCATTAGGCCTCTGTTATTATTCTTACAGGTCTTGGGTCCTAAAATAAAAACCATCCATGTCTAATGAGGGGAAAAGATACTACAAATTACACTGCCCAGATGCAGAGCTTCTCCTTTTGTTATTGTTAGGCATCAGTCTGAAGATCAGCAGAAATGTGTTTGCTAAAAATTGATAATCACTGACTTCCTGTTTTATTTTTAATACATGCTTTGCAGATTGTCTTACCCATTCAAGGAAATGATAGCTCTCATTTCACTGCTGCTGATACTGTTCTGCTGCTTCACAGGAAAGAAAATCAAGGAAAATAAGAGCAGTCTCAGAAGGAGGTTAAGATGAATGTTTGTTGACCCAGGAGTACTGGACAAGAGGGGCAAGTATTGACCAGCAACATCCTGCAAGCCCATTCATTACCCAGCTGCTGGAATACCAAGTATCATAAATATTTCATTGATTTTCAGGAACTTAAAGCATGAGCCATGGTACTGACGTTCAGAGACCTGGGAGGAGGGGAGATGGAAATGCAAGAGAGGTTTATTCCAGCACTAGCTGTGAGTAGCTCATCCCATCTCTGCTTAGAGATTTAAGGCCCAGTCACAGCAACACTATTAAAATTTTGGATAAAAAATATTACTTTAGAAAAATTAGAACTCCCATAATCTAATGGGAGCCAAAATCAAAGCAAATGGCAACAAAAGCAACTCTGCCATAAAAATCTGAAAATGCTTATAGATCCTCAAAGTAAAACACACCCGACTATATACTGTGAATCACAAATCACTGCTAGCAGCAGAAAGTATTTCAACACTTTTGGAGTTTGGACTCAGCTCTACTTAAAATTTTATAGGGGAAAAACAATTTCAGTAATTCCCCTTTGTAAAAATAAATTTCCACAGGCAGGCAAGTCTTGGGTTAACCAGCTCCAGGACTTCAGATCCTGCCTCAATAAGAACATTTTCAGAGATGAGAAGGAACATTAAATAACTCTTCCCTTGCAAGCTAAAAATAAAACACGTGAATTCCTGCTTCCTTTCAAGATGCTAAAACAAGCCTTCAAACACTTACTTGAAACAGTGTTTCACTGGTTTGTGCTACAACTCATGCTCTGCTTCAATTTATTTTCTGTCAGTCCTTGGCAATTTGTACAGAAAGTTCAAAAAATGACTGGTGTGGGTATTGGCCACCTATGGAACATACTGCCCCTCTCAGCAGAGAACTCTTGCTGTGCTTGTTGTACGAGTGGCTGCAGAGAGTACATCCAGTTCCCCATCACAGGCACGCACTTTGCCAGTGCCCCAGCATCTAACACAGGCAAGGCTCCCCTCCCTCCAAACCGTGCCCACTCTGCTCTCCACAAACACCTGGCACGGAGCTGGTAGGTGATCTGACACATCCCTCATCCAAAAAATGCAGGGGGTATTTTAATGTCCAGAGCTGTGCACCAGCCCCTTAGCCTGCACCAGGTACGTCTCTCCCTCGCAGTGAAATCTTATTTATATGCAAAATGGTGTTATGAAGCCTTTTCCAGCATGCCAGTGCAGCTGAGTGTGGATTCTTAGTGCTGAAATACTGCAGGGGAGTCTCCTGATTGCCTGCATCAATGCGAGGAGCACCTGCCTGGCTGCCTGCAGAGCCCGGGCGACGAGGAGAGCCAGCTGTGGGTCTGCCCTGGCTTTCTGCTGCCAAGCCAGCAGCATCCAGCCAGGACCAAAGCATTCTGAAATCCTTCCCAGCTAGATCTCCTCTGTACACGGCGGTGGGGAGAAGGGGGCCAAGGCAAGGTAAGAGCTGTGCCACACCAACCCCAGAGCACGGTTCTCAGAGGAACAGCCAGCCCACCACGCAGCCCTGCCAGCCCCACAAGGACAGGTCCAGCTCCCAGGGAACCGCCGACCTACTGAGCAGCAGATTTATGAGGAGGCGGAGGTGCGTGTGTGTGCTCCAAGCAGATAAACCCTGGTACCCTCCTGATTCACAGGCAGGGTAGTAAGAAGCTTTCCAAGGCTGAACATCAGTCAGAAACGATTTTCCTTAATCGCCTATTTATTTTGCCCTTTAAAAGTATGCTGTCAAGAGAAAAAGCTGAATTACAAAAACACCTTATCTGTGCTTTTCAAAGATGTCATATTACTTAAGGGACTGGTAAATTTAGCTTTGCACACTGAATATTCAACTGACCTGGTCCATTTAATCTGTAAGACCATTCAAGCATATACAAGGCTAGAGCCCCAAATCCTAGCCTATGAAAAAAAACCCTTAAAGTTGATGTTAAAAATTAGAAAATAATTTATTTTCACTTCCAATTGGTTAGTGAATGAGGGTACTAAATAAATATCTTCTAATTCAAGGAAACTGAGGACAAAACATGACATTTAGGAAGGGCATTTGAGCACTTCCTTACTAGCAGAGTTAATTACCTGAACAGAATAAAGCACATACCCATGTGTTGACAAGACCCTTGGTGAGAATAAAAGAAAAATACCTACAACACCATGGGTACCTCTCGTGCTAGAGAAGAATTCAGTAATGGTTGATAAAATTAAGAACTACTTTGCCATTTTTAAGGACTACACAGAAGAATACATTTTCATACTTTTAAAATATTTTTTAAAATACTTTCTTTTCTGCTAGTTTTCAGCAGTGTCTCACAGTCTTCACAGTAAACTAGGTCTCTCTCCAAAGTATTTATCTGCTAGCAATGTTGTACGTTCAGTGGTGTCTAGTGTGGGGCTAGAGGTGCATCAGGAAAGAATGAAATGATGGGAGAAATAGGCTAAGATTTAGTTAGATCTACCTAAGATCCATTAAGTTTCAAAAAAAACTGAAAACCAAATGCAGTACCAAATAATTTAGTCTTTAAGAGTTGATTAACTCTTTTCTAAAGAAGATAGAGTTTCATACACCCACCCCTCCCCTTACATTCTAAACAGTAATTTGGATAAATCTGGTGAGGATAGCAGCAAAAACAACACAATTTCCATCTTAATCAAAACAATATACATAGATTTTTCCAGTATGAACTCTCACTTTCTGAGTAGGGGTGGTGGTTGGGTGTATTCCCTCCTTGCATTTGGCTTTAATAGCAATTAAGTGGATTGGGTAATGACTCCAAAGCCATTACAAATGAAATGCTCAGGACACCAACAGGGCTTGGTGGTCGCTAGTTCCAAGTAGCAAGGAAATCATCTACAACACTTAATGCACACGATTAACAGTGGTCAGAGATCAGCCACATGACATTGTGAAAGAGTTTCCTACTATTTGGGAAGGTCCAGCAATTCCTTGAAGGTAATTCAAAAAAAAGCAGCTTGTGTAATTCTTTGATGACTCT